CCAGCAAGGAAGATGGGTAGTTAATTACCACACTCCTTCAAAGTTTGAAGGGAGAGTTGGCGGACTTGTCTTATGAGGGAACCATCTGACGGAACTCTCTTTCAGCCCTACTGACCAGTGGAGTATTTTTCAGGCGGAGATACATATATTATGGAGGCAACAAAATAAATCGCTGTATTGTCGCCGATCTCTACAGAGAGATGGCCAAACAGAACAGACTGTCCCTCTCCAGGTCTCAGGGACATCGAGCGAAACTGTAAGGGGAAAGTACTTGTTAGGCAAGGTACGACGCATCAGATTATTTTCGATAAAGTACGTGTCAAGGTGGAATGTAACCAGAAACTGCAGCAAATCCTAGAATTCCCGGCCTAAATGGAAGAAGACCACGATATATACTCCTCGTCCTTGACTTGTCCACAGTAATAAGAGTTCTTTCAGACCAATGTTTAAAAGGATGACGCGCCGGTAGGCTAGGGGGTCCCTACAGAAAATACTGCAAAAGCTATAAGGAGGATGAGGAGGAGGAAACGAACACCCATCTCTATGCGAGAGTTCTGCTTTAGCACTGCTAAGTTTCGGAATTTTGGTACCCTATTGCTGGATGTTATATCGCAGATAGTTGACGTCAAAGTCCTACCTTAACTGATTCCCCTGACGATTTTATAGTGATTTTTCCAATTTTACTGGCTTCTTTATGTGCTGCATGTATGTATGTGCATATGTGCACAAAAAGTTATCTGTGCGTGTGGTGTCGCCGACGACGTGTGTCGCCCTTGGCTGTCATTTTGGCAAAATGCAACAATTCGTTTATCACCTTTCAATTGCAACAATGCGTGTAAGTGCGATATCGCCTTGATGTGAAACAACAAAATGCATATGTACGCATGTATGTACGTATGAGCATACACAGCGACACACGTCGTGCTGCGAGTGATGCAGATACAGATACAACTTAAGTATACCAAACAAGAACAAAAAACAAGAAAAAAAAAAGGGTTAAAGCAAAATTATTGACGACACCGCAGGGATATACCTAAGTCCGTCCAACCAGCTGCTCTCCTCCCAACACGTCTCTGTGCCCTTAGCGACGCGCCTTGACGCCTTGTCGAACTGTGTTCGCTGTCAAATGACAAACGCATTAAAAATACTTAAAGTGTTGCCAAACACCGCTGCTGCCAGCCACAATTGTCAACTGGACAAGAACACATTGTTTGGCTCTTACTTGCAGATATCACCAAAAACAATAATAACAACATGTCAGCCAACAGCCAGCCAGCAGAGGGAGAGAGTCAAAAAGCAGTTGGAGTCGAGCATTGGATCGTGCAGTCGCGACAAATTCACCAATTGCCGCTGCTCGTCAACAACATTGTGCCAACTTGCGGCGACGATAATAGTTTATTGCCTTGCGACGTTCATTTCACACCATCTACAGAGGGACGCATGCATAAACACACACACACACATATGTACGTGTTTATACGAGCATATGTGAAGTGAAGGAAGAGTGGTCCGAAGTGGTCACTACTGTAGCCGCCAGATCTAGCGATTGAGATTGAAACAACGACAAGACGCGCTCAATGTGGCTGGCTTTGTTATGATGTTATTTTGTGATTATTTTGACAACGACGAACCAGCGCTGCGACTGGGCGGTCGACGCGCCGATCGATACGTGAGCGATTGTCAGATACTCGTATGCAAGTGGTCGCGATGTACTGGATTAATTCATTCAATCTTTGTTTCTGCTGTTGTTTGTTCCTTATATTCAAATGCATATATAATATATGTGTATGTATAGCTGTAGGAATATATTGTATCAATTCATATGCATTTAGCATACATTTTATTGGGGGATTTCCAATAATGTGAGTAACTGACTCATTCAGTTCCTGTGAACCAACCTGCCTACATATGTATGTATGTAAGGGCGAATCAATAGATTAGATATGTACATATTGTTGGCGCTCTATAACCGCTGACACGATTTTCGGCCGAGCCCTTGATCCATTTTGCGGATTGCCTCTTGAAGTTTTTCCAAAAATTTGGGTGACCATCAGTTTATTCAAAGTCAACTCCAAACAGCCGATGGATTTTTCTGAGGAACTTTAATTTTTATTTCAGAAATACACTCGGAAGTCGTGACATTCCTTGCCGAGGGACGACTGTAATAGGAAAAATCAGTTTCCCATAATATTGGATATCGGTGGGATCAGGACTCTAACTCTAACCTTCTGAATGACAGTGCATTTGCCAGCCAATCGGCTAAAGCGGCCTCTACTAGATTAAGATGTTAGTTAATTTTCTTTTAGCGACTCAACGTCAGCAATAAGGCGTAGAAAAATCTCAAAATATTGGGTTTGGGAACCATAAAAAACCCTCTGCTGATGGATAATAACAACAAAATCGTGAACCGCTGCATATTTGAGTCCTTAATCCCGAAGATGCCGCTGCACAGGCTAAGGGCTGTCATGGCTGGTGATAAAAGGAATAAAGGCGAAAAAGTTGGATTTAGTAGCGGCCATAAAAATGAGCTTAAATGTGTTTGGTTGAATTTGTGATAGAAGTGAGACTACGTACCCAAATCCAGGTATTCTGTCTGCCAGAGGAACATCTCCTCCTATCTCACATCAAAGTGAAGTTCTTCAAATTATCGCTAATTTGGGCTCACATCGCGATGGAAGAGAACAACAATGTGACCATACATGTTTTCTATGAGCGTCTAAAACTCAAGTTTGAACTCTGCTGGTGGTATGTTTTTGGCGTCATTGCCCATCCTTACGGAGAAGGTCGGAAAATTGTGCTTACATGACGAAACTTCCCCGAACGGACTGAGCCTGATCGACTTCCCAGCAGCAGCTATCGCACCACCAAACCCATTATGATATGACAAATGCAGCATATGTCCTCAGTGTTTTAGATGTACCCACGTTCCCAAAGCATAGTATCAAGTCAGATAGGTACAAGATAAGCACCCATCTCAATGCAGCAAACACTATCCTAGCATGTAAGTAGTGATTAAGCAGTTAGATATTCTTACCTTATTCATATTCGGTAGAGATCTGTTCACTTATGTGGAGGCAACATTTCTTCATCTTTCCAAAAGGTAGTGAAAGTGAAGCAGCTGGAGTTGGTGAACCCGGATCCCCAGTCGAAGACGATAGAATAGACGTCCCATTACCCATCTGTGATGAAGTACGAATAGTGCGATGAAACGATACATGTTTTAGATTCTTTGCAAAATTTTGTCGCATGAGTACATGTCTGATGATTTAAATTTATGGATGCTTTATTCAATGTACAGAAAAGAACCCCAGCTTGCTCCAATTATCACGAAATATGGCTCCTCAAAATAGAGTAAAATGTCTTATCGAGCGAATTCTGTAAAAGCTTTAATCACGCCGACAACGTGCTGAGCGTGGCTTCAGATTTATCAATTAATCGATTTACTTGGAAAAGAGCCGAGAGAAAAGTAGAGACACACGATCTTTTCGTCGATTTTAAAGCTGCCATTGGTGCTAGGAAAAGGAACTGACGTCTGACTTATCGTTGTTAAAAGTGCTGGAAACCCGTCTGAATTAAATTTGAAATAATCCCTGCGGATTGAAACTGTAGGTCCCTTCGTTTGTAAGAAAACTGTTTTGAGAAATAAGCGACTGTAAGAATTCAAAAATGCAACTGAGGTTCTCTCGAAATTTTTTCCCATACCATCGTAGCTTTTTACATACACTCGCAAATCAACCAAGTTGCAAGGCTGCTAATGAACTTAATTGTCATAAAATAGCAATTCGAAGTATTGAAGTTGAAAAAAATATACGACTTGTTTTGTATATTCAATGTTCGCATCCCAAGGGCAGCAATGATATTCTGCTTTGGTCACAAGCAATTAGTCAGGAAATGACCGGAGTCATCAAAATGTTGCCACAAAAACTATGTAACACTCAATTATGTGTATGCACAGAAACATATATGTATTCGCATAATAAACTATAAACATACATACACACATATGTATACAAAACATGCCCATAAGCATAAAGCGTGTGACCCCAATGAGCCGGAAACCGGCATAAAGCGCCAGCATTCAATTTTTACAAACTCCAATTCACGAATGTCGACAAATGCGACTTCATTTATTAATGTCATTTAATTAGCAGCTGTAGAGATTTGCAATTTTTCTCTCTAAAATTTCGCAAATTGCCATAAATGTTATACACGTATGTATTCGTATAAAGCTACGTAATGTTAACATATATATTTTAACGAATTGATATTTAGTTCATCAAGTTTTGAAAAAGGCTATTTTGAAATTTATTTAATTTTGATTTTAATTTTAATTTTAATTTTAATTTTAATTTTAATTTTAATTTTAATTTTAATTTTAATTTTAATTTTAATTTTAATTTTAATTTTAATTTTAGTTTTAGTTTTAATTTATATTTCAATGATTGCTTAAATCCCTTCTTCACAAATTGATCTAGTAGTCTTCATGGTGATGTACATAGGTTGACCTTCAATTGCAAATGGCAATAAAAATGCAATAACAGAAAATGTTTATTTTAGTAACAAATAAAGATATTAATATGAGGGAGTTTATTTGTTTTGTTGTGATTCATGCGAACTAATAATGAATTAATGCGAAGCAGCTACTCATTCATCGAATTCATTTGAAAATCTATACATATATATAGGGGCAGATAGTTCTTAGAGAAAATGCTAGACAGGCACCGTTATCAGCTATGCATAAAAACACCACTGTTAAGAAAAACAAAAATAAACTGTGCAAGAATATGTAGCCGTAGGAAAAAATAAAAAGCATAAGCTCTAATTTTTAAAAACTATGCAAACGGCACATAGCAAGCTACTTCTCTGATCGCAGTCACCTTTGGGGATTGATCAGACAAATTGCTAGTCGGTGACTGAAGGAGAGGCATATAATTACACTAAAGGCTTATTTGTTCCAGGTTCACAAAATATTTTTTAAAAAGAAAATTTAAAATGACATTTTATGAAAATTGTTTGTTAAAACTTTTATCAGTCATTAAGCGTTCACAATCTCTTATAATATCGTCGTCAACTGTTGACAAGTTAAAAAAAAGTTTCCGGATTGATCAGCCTTGATGACTTTAAGGAAATGCAAGAAGAAAATGAAGAAGTTTCCGGTGGGCATCATTTTCTTTTTCTTAAAGCGACTGACTATAGAGAATAAGACGAGATTGCTGCTCTTTCAGAATCAAAACTCACGTCTACGATTAGTTCAGATAGCAATTCGCTGTCAGTTTTATCACCAAAGAACTTCGATGGATTCATTTACTACTACGACGCTGAAAGTAGCGTCCTTCGTTGGCAGTCATTCAATGAAACTGCAAATAATCAAGGGGATTTTACGCCACTCCATGAAACATGAAAATCTACCCAGTCAAAATCCAAGTAATCGACTTAATCTAACAAAAACTGGCAAAGTTTGGTGGTACTCAAGCAAGGCAACATTTTTCAAAAAGAGGACAGTATGGATTTGGTTAAAAAAATATTATGATGCAAAAAGAAAAATGCTGGATAAGTCGGCTATCTCGCTTTGGGATGCTGATATGGAAGAACTACAGAGTCTTTATACATCATACAAATACAAGACAGATTTATTTACTGCCTGCAAAAAGTCTCTTAGCTGTAGTAGAACATTTCCCTGGAATCTTGTCACAACAAAAAAAGGATCGATCTTTTGTTGTTGCTTAACAGTAGCCGGACAAGCTTTGTAGCGTAAAGGCAGCGCCTTCTATGTTGTTGAAGGCAGCTTTAAAATCGATATGAAGGTGATTTGTATCGATTGTTTTTCTTGGACCTTTTTCCATGATTTGGCGCATGATGAATGTCTGATCAATAGTGGACTTACGAGCTAATGCATGTTATCAATATATATTGGAATCAGCCGAAATGGAGGCCCAAAAAATTTTAAATTTAATGCATCAGCTTTCCAGTGACATAAAATTAAATTGATTGACTATTGGCCAACTTATGATTCTTTTTATGGGACTACATGTATGATTTTTTCAGATTTCGTCCCACCCAGGAATTCCCGAAAAAAATTAAAAAAAAATATTTCGGTCTATTTTGGTCAGTTCTAGGTCGAATGACAGTCAATTTAATTTGCTTATGCCGATATCGAAACAAAGATATGCACATTAACATCGTTTTTTTAAATTGCTTTATACCGAATGACTGACGGATCGACCTTCGTCGAGCTTTGATTGCAGATACCTGGAACTTGCACGATGTGTTCTGCGTCTGACGTGGGCATCCGGTAAGAAAGGACTTTCCTGGAAGTTCAGCTATTTGAAATGGTTTGAGTTGCATAAAGTTTCATGTAGATTAATATGTTTATGAATATCCTTATTCTCCGGCAGGTCGACTTGAGACCGATCTGGGCGAAAAATTTTGTTATGAACTCGATTTGCTTGATATTTGGATTCAGAAATATTCAAACCTTTTAATAATGCAATTAGGAAGTTAAATTAGGCAAAAATGAAATAAAAATCTTATTAGATTATTAACATTTCATGCGGACGAGGTCGCGGACAAACTCTTGTCTGCAATGCTTGATTAACTTTTAATGTAGTCATTACTTGCCACCTTTTTTCTATGCCCAATTTATATTGTAAATCAGTAAATGAATTGTTTCAGTTCTTTCTTTGGGTTTCTGTTGTTGTTGTACAACACGCTGAGGCGATATCATTCAACTGCATTGCGAATTATATCAGCAAAAGTAAACAACAGCTACAACAACAACAAAGAGCTCTAGTAAATATGCAATTGAATGACTTGAAACCCAAATTACACACAAATATATGTACTTACATACTCTTATATGTGTATTTGTGTGTGTGTGTGTGAACATCAGGCAGGCATTGCAATAAACTGCGCCGACAAATACACCAATCAATTGCAGCGACACAACAAATAGCTTGGCAGCAAGCGCGCTGCGCAACCCAACCAACCCAACTGTGGTAACTTTGTGGCCACCAACAAACACACGCCCCAGCATACAGCTGATCAATCGCCCGAGCCACCAAGCAACCAGCAATCACCTTAATTAAACACTACCAACCTTAGCATTAGCGTTGATAGCTCGCTGGCTGGTTGGCCACGGCAGCGACTAACGACAACAAACAACAACACACAGCAACAAACAAATCAAGAATAACAGCAACAACAGTAACAAGAGCAGGCAATAGCAATGAAATATCAGCGCGGTGGTCTACATGTCAACAATTTCCGTTCACTAAGGTGCAAAAAGGTTGTGGCTGAGGCATTCACTGAAATCTCGATTTCTTTTCTTTCTTATTTTTCTTCGATTTGAGTTTTTATTTGCAATTTTCTTTGCTGATTTTTTTTCCCCTTTTTTTTGGTTGCAGCAATTGCTATGTGCTTTTCACCGTCATTGGCAGTCACCGTGGCAAATTCTCTGACAGCCAATGTCAAGTGTGAAGCAGCTACAACAGCAACAGCAACAACGACAACGACAACATTATATTGTTATGGATGCCTCGAGGAGGCATGAAGCTGACGCAGATCACCCAAGTTGCAGCGGCAATTACGCTCAGTGCAAATGAGGTGAAGTTTGCTGTGAAATGGTTTAATTACGCTGTAATGCCTATCGTTTACTTGCGAGCACATTATTATTTGATTAATTTGATACATGAGAAAATATGCGTGCAAGTGTAGTGCAGGAGTAAAAACAAAACCTTCTATGGTAGCGAAAAATAGCTATTGGATTTTTATGAGAAGCACTTATTTCATGCCATAAATCTACTGTGAGGCGAGAGGGCTTGAAACTTCTGGCCGAGGGGCGATCGTATTCAAGGAAGAAATCTCTGTTGTTAATAATAAAAAGGCTCTTATGTTCACGTCCAATTGGCAGCCCTATCTGTTTCATTAGAGCATTAATTTTCTTATTAAGAGGCGGTCATTAGAAGCTTATGCTGCTAGGAAGCTCAACAATAGTTTAACCACATCATCTACAATTATGTTTTGTCCTAAAAGACGACAGACTAATTTTATTTGTAACCTCAAGAATTGTTTGAAAGCTGAGCCATTCGCACCTCATGCACAGTTTGAAATTAATCGTCGACCTCGCCTTTTTTAGCTTGTCCTATAGTTTTGAGTTGCGTCTGATCTTTCCTAGAAGCTTTTCCTCTTCTTCCTTATGGACCTCGGCACCGCTTACGCGATTATAACCGAATCATTCATTCCTTTCTTTTCGCTGTTTGGCGACTGTTGCATACACCAAGTAATGCCAGGTCCCTCTCCACCTGAACCTTACAACAGAGTGGAAGGCCTCCTCTTCCTCTGCTTTCACCACCTGGTACTGCATCCAATATTCTCAAAACTGAAGAGCTATCATCCATTCGGACAACATGATCTAGCCAACGTAGCCGCGGTCTCGTTGTTCTAAGACTCTAAGAACCGACTCATCGTATGTTGACTTCGTTCACGCTTCTGCGCCTTATAGTAGGACGGGTGAGAGACGAATTTACTTTTCAATTGCCAAAGTAGCACCTGTTGGAAAGAGTGATTCTGCGTTGGATTCCCAGACTGATATTAATATTGGTGCTGGTTCTTAGATAGACGAAATTATCTAAGACTTCAAAGTTATGACTGCACAATGACGTGGGACCCGAATCGCCATTGCGATGACCTATTCTCCTCACTTCCTTATTCAGTTTGTAGGAAGCAGAACTTACGGCGAGGTTGTTGAGGCTGATAATGTCAATATCATCGGCGTGCGCCAGCAGCTCTACACACTTATAAAATATTGTACCTTCCTTATTCAGCTCTTCAGCTCGTATTGTTCTCTCCAGCATCAAATAGAAGAATTCACACAACAAAGAGTCACCCTGTTTGAACCTCGTTTGGTGCCGAACGGATCGGAGAGGTCCTTTTCAATTCTGACCATGTTTCTGGTGTTGTTTAGCATCATTTTACACAGCCGCATAAGTTTTACGGGGATACCAAATTCAGGCATAGCGGCATACAAGCAGCTCTCTTTCGTGCCGCGTTTCGATCTTCTTTTCAAGGATCTTTTCCAAGATTTAGCGCACGGCGAATATCTGTAGAATGGTTGATATACCTGGCATAAAGCCACACTGGGAAGGACCAATCAGTTTGTTGAGGGTGGGCTTTTGTTTTTCACACAAAACAAAATAGGACCCTGTAAACGATGGTAAGGAGTCTTATTTCACGGTCATCTTTTGTGTGCAAATGCGTCTTCCTTTCCTCTTCAGCTCTCGATATCTATCCAATGAAGCCAGCAGCAGTTACTCTGTTGTGTGTCTTACTAACACCACAACTATTCCTACTCAAAGGGCAGCATAGTTAAAGAATCTGCTTCTTTCGATGATAGCTGACTGTTGCTTACCCAGTAGTTTGAAAAAGCAGCGACAGTTCTAATTTAGCTGATGTCGTGGGAAAAGTTACTCATGCGAAATGCGTTTAGATTGAGACGAGAAAAGGTTCCAGACTAGATTTGGCCCAGGACGCGTTGGACTTCATGCTGAGCATTGTTCTTTTGGACATAGCAGAGTAGGTAGCATTGCAGACTGCTATTCTGAAGTATAGTGTTGGAGACCTGGTTCGAGTGCTGGTTCCACCAGTATCCCAAATTACAGAACATTATTTCTTCTGAGTGCCCTTTTCCTTCGCCTGGGAATGTCAAACCCATCAAGTGTATTTCTGATATGAAAGTCCAAAAGACGTTCGGCGGCGGCTTCGTAAAAACTGTAGGTGCTTTTGTTCCGAAAGTGGAACTCGTACGAAAATCGATTCTGCAGTTACAAAACGCTATTTATAGATAAACATAAATCTTATTGATACATGTTTTATTTATATAATTAGCTTCAACAACCGAAAAGGTTCTGGCTTCACTTGGTGTCTTCCATTAGTAAGAAGAGAAGAAATTATTAGTAAGTTATTGTGGATACGACAAAAACCGCATAAGCAGAGACTTGTGACTACTTTCTGCTCTCATTCTTGAAGCGGTGGAGCGTTTTTCTAAGAGAGAAGCGATGAGTTGCCTCATAAAGGGAACGAAGCTTGACGAAGAGGTTGGAGGTATTGTTTTTATCGAAAGCCAAGTCAGACAATATACAGAGCACTATGGCGTGTGTGCTTATCATACTGGCATTGAAAAAGCGCTGGATTTGTTCTCCAGTGAAATACGGAAGCTCTTTACTAAAACCAAATATTTAAAGTCGGTTTCCCTGTACTGTGGAAGCTGTAACACTCAACAGTGACGTGCTTTCGAAGAAGTGAGTGTGCTGCTTGATACACCGCTAATGTGATATGTGAAATATTTCATCGTAAGATTAAGATTTACCCAGATTGAAACTTCGTTAAAAGGTAAAAGTAGAAAGGTTAAAGCTTTGAATCATATACAGAGAAGCATTTAATGTGTTGAAAGAAAAACAATTTTTTAATTTCAGTAGTCCTGTAGGGAGTATTGGCAAACTTCCGGGAAGATTTCTGACACCCGTTCGAAGGCGGTTTTGAAAAAAAAACCCGTAAGTAAATTTGTTGTCTTTCACGCCATTCGTTGGAAAAATATCAAGGGCTTAAGAATTCAATAGGAAATCATTTTAGGTAATGCTTGTGAGCGTAAGCAAACCTTGTAAAATATGCGTAGCGTGGATCATGGCAGGATGAGAGCAGGAATGTCTCTGTACAGCCAAAGGTGTTCATTGTTTTTTAATAAAATTTATAAGAAATTAAAATTGAAAAAATGTCAAAAAAATTAAAAAGCGCACCATTTTTTTTTTTTTTTGTGAAAATGTTTGATTGTAGTACCGGCCATAGCCAATGTGAAACAGAATAAGAAAGTGTTTTGATTTTTGCTATCAGCTGATTGGCCTTACAGTTATCAAGTCACTCATCAGCAAAAGGGATTTTAAGAGCTGCCATTAAAAAAACTTTTCTTTTTAAATTATTATTTTCACACGTCTACTAATCTACAAAAATTTTGATTTATTAAAATTTTTGTTTTCGAAATAAATAAAATTAAAAAAAACACGGAATTACAACAATTCAATACACGATGCAATTCCTTTTATTTACAGTACAAAATGACAGGAGTAACAAAAAAAAAAAATTAAAAAAAAAGCAAAATAAAATAAAATCCGAAATTTAAATTTCATTAACTTGTTACGCATACTCATATTTTTGGCACTTATGCTCCATTTACGCGCATGTGACTTATGGACCATCATCACCGGTTAGCCGCAGAGGTGTTTCTTTTTTTTGGCTTTGATTTTCGGTGATTTTCTTGAATTGGAAAATACACTTAAGAGGCGTAAAGTGTCTGCTCGAATGACATTTGCGCGAGCTGTCAGACATTTGTTTTAAACGCACACACACACACACACACACACACACACACATAGACGTGCGCGCGCGCGTACACTCAGACTTGCACATTTGATAGGATTTGAAATGATTTTGAACGATTTATTAACAGTGATATGTTTGTAAGTGGAGCATGTGGCAGAGGTTGCCACACGACGTCGCATGTGCATAAATACATGTATGTATGAGTATGCGCAAATTTATGAAGTCCGCGCAACATTGGGTGGTATGGACGCGTGGCATGGCATGATATGGCATGCTATTGGCAAGAATGACATTATGAAATCTAAATGCGCTAACGCCTTATTTTGGGTGACAAAAATATTGTGCGATTGTGCCAAATATCGGTACAACCGTACGCTGCGCCGTACGCTGTCCACTGCGGCGTCCGACTGACGCGATACAATTATTAATTTACCTTTCAGTTTTTGGCGCTTGCCATGATAAATGTTCACACTTGAGTTGTTGCAATTATTAATTAATCGTTTCATTTTATGCATTTAATCTGGCTGATGTTGACTTACTCTGCCACTCTATGGGGCCTATGTCGGCGGTTGGCAGCAAATTGGCTAACAAAGTTGCCACAAAAATACAAAAATGTGAAATTAGCACATTCTCAGGGGGTAAAAAAATATTCATATATACATAAACGAATATTCATACTTTGTACTTGCTTATGTATATACATACAAACATATGTATGCACTTATATTCATTGTCAAATTGTAGTGAAAAGTCAAACTAGTATGCTAAAGGACTAGTTAAATATTAGTATTTACGGTATGAAATCATGCCATTTCCCGCAGCTTCAAATTTATTTTTAACGAACATGAATTTCAACATGCTGCCAGCAGGAACTGGTATTTAACTAGTCTGAAGCTGATGCATAATCTGAAAATTGCCATAAAATTTATGCCAGTCGCATTCGGGTTGACAACTAGTATTCTGCGTGGTATATGTACGAGTATATGTATATTTATTCATAGAATATAACTGCCTCTAGAACCGACTTTTGCGATTTATTTCATATTTGGCGACATTTTTATCACGACTTCCCCACACACCAGCTCAAATCTTTTCATTTATTTAAGTTACATATGCACATTAGTGTATGCATACATACATACACGCACACATATACATATATACATATATATATATATTTATATATATATGCATGTTCACACAAGTGCAAGTGTGGTTTTTACTTAAGTTCATGCCCACATGCACTCACACACCCATACATATATACACATTTATTTGAGCGAATGCAAATGCATTTACATACGTGTATAACAACAGCTTACTTGATTAGCGTCTAGACGGCGCTCGTGTCATACATAGACAGGCATTTCCATTTCTATCTATCTATCAGTTTGTTATTTTAATCAGTTTTGCAATTGGCCGACGCGTGTCGCTTTCAACTAATGTTGCATGAACTTAATGTCATTTCATAATGAGCAAGACAAAAAATAACAACAAATATTAAGTAATTTTGCAATAAAAAAAATTGTTGTTGTACTCACCTGAGCCATTGCTGCCGAACCAGAGGGCAACCAGGTCCTCACTGGGCGACGTATGATAATGATTACTATAAAGATATGGACTGGGATAGTCGAGGAGCATACGACGAGATGATGGAGATTCCGCTAAATAAATTATATTAAAAAAAATTCATTAAAATATATATGTACATATATGTTTATATTTCAAAAAGAGGAATTTACAAATTTTTTAATAATTTCCAAAATTCTTGTAGGCAGTTTTTTGTTGTTCGCATTCCTGTAGTCGCGGTAGCCGAGTGGTTAGCATTGCGTACTGGCATTCGGAAGGCTCAGGTTCATCTCCCGATGCCATCAACACCCAAAAATTACAGAAAATTACTTCAAATAGAAAATCAAGTTAAATTTTCCATTTGCGGTCGCCCTTCGGCAGGGAATGTCCACCCCTGCGAGTGTATTTTTGACATAAAAATCAAAGCTTCTCATAAAAAATCATCAGCCGTTCGGAGGCAGCTTAGTATAAACTGTAGGTCTCTCTATTTGTTGGGAAAGCCTCAACACGCTAAATCACAAATTGGAGGAGGAGCTCGGCCGAAAAATCACTTCAGCGGTTACAATGAGCTAATTATATGTATATATATATATATTTATATGTATACCTGTTTGTGACTCTACGTCTAAGATGTTTGGATCCACATAGTCATGTTTATAATGCTATGAATGGTTGGATTCACAGAGTCATCCTAATCGCCTATCATGGATATCGCCGAGAGCACCTAAAATTGTAGCTTCTTAGGCTACGGCAAAGAAACAATAACCTCTCGGTGTAGTGTCCCTGAGAAGAGATTCGCCCCAAATTTGGAAGACTTGCAGAGCCCCACATATAGGCTTTACCCAAGACGCATATTAACGTGTGGAGAACTAGTAGTCTATTTACCCTAACTTGGTGAAAAGTTTTCATTTTTAAGACAAAGTCAGTTCCTTTTGTCCTTAACGCAAAGTTAAAACCTTGTGAAGCAGAGCCCTTTGCTACCAACAAGCTACTTGCTAATGAAAACATCCAAAATCTGGAATAAAATAAATGCCCAAAGTTCTTTGACGAAACGAAAAAGAAAACCGAAAGCATAGAAAATTAAATTTTCCAATTGCGGTCGCTCCTCGGCAGGAAATGCGTCGCTCTCCGAGTGTATTTCTGATAAGAAAATCAAAGCTCTTCAGAAAAATTCATCGGACGTTCGGAAGCGGTTTAGTATAAACAGCATTTGTTGGGAAAACATCAAGACGCGTTTTACAAATCGGAGGAAGAGCTCGTCTAAAAATCATCTCAGTGGTTGCAAAGCGCCAATTATTTATTTGTATAAGGAGCGTCAAGCAAGGTTGTTGGGAATGCACAATGAAAGTCTTGGAAAACCTTTTTTGCACCGATACTTGAAGCAACGGAGTTCCCTTTGGTGAATCAGTGTCAACACACGGCCTCGATAGCTGGGTTTGTTTTCACAGTGATTGGTGAACAAAACCAAATCTAAAGTATTTGTTCCACGTAGACCGTGATAAACTTCATCACAAATCATAAGTCACAAACCTTCAATCCGTAATTAATAAAAGACCTCGAGAACACTCTCATTATAGAGGTTACAATAGTAAAAAAGTATACTCAGCTAATACTTTTTTACTATTGTAGTTTTAGGTTCTTTTAGGTTGGCAACCGGTACTAGTCAAAGTCTCACATAGATATTACTTTGAAAAACTTCATTAAGGGGAATATATTTGCATTACAGGCGCGTTGTGACAACTCGATTGAAAATCCCTGCAATTATTCTCAACGTCACTCCGCTGGAGCGAGCTTCAACCTGGTGGTACCGCGGTACAGGGCACGCCCGAATGGTAAGCTCTACACCGATTTCAGGATACGTACATTGCACCATCTCCACTTTCGCTCTGACAATATGTCTTCTTCAAATTTGCCAGGAAGGGACGAAATCTTCGAAAACATTGTATTCCGAAGAGCAGGTATAAAAAAAGTTACAAACAGGCAAAAGAAAACAAGAGTAGTATTTCTACAACTCACCTTGCACCTGGGCTGCGTATTCGGAGGCCTTTTGCAAATTCAAACGTGGTCGCGGTTTCGGTAAACTCTGTTGTGAGCTCGGCGTATTTGAGGTGGTGTTGTTAGTACTCGTGTTACCACCATTAGCGGCGGCCAATGCTTGTTGACTTGCTGACGCTGATGAGTCCAACAGCAATTGCTGTACTTGTAAGATGTCAACGTATTCGTCTAATTCCGTCGATTGAGCCGAGCTGCAACGCTGCGTCCCATTCGCAAAAGATGCGCTTCCGGTGTTGACAGACACCAGCGACGAACCAGCAACGGACGTTGGCACAGCTGAGGGAAGTGACGTGTAGTGTGGATGCAGGTAAGTGGCTGCACCCGTGCTGGGTGTATAAAAGCCAAATTGTGGCCCAGCCTGCACCGGTACGGGCGGTGGTGGTGGCGGCGGGAACTGCAACGGACTACGACCCAAGTTTAGCAACGGTGTTGTGGGTGTATTTAATGAGTCAGCTTGTTGCTGCTGCTGTTGTTGTTGCAAATGTTGTGCGTGCTGTTGTAGGCCAAGATACTGTTGTTGGTGTTGTTGTTGCTGTTGCAAATGATGGTGTTGTAGCGTGCAAGACGTTACGTTTGCTGCGACACTCAAGTTGGGTGACAGCTGAAGTGCTGAACTAACACTGGGCACTAATAGACCATTCGTCGTGGCCGATATACTGCTGACTGGCGTCGCCTCTGAGGTAATTATAGTGACGGCGGCGCTTGCGGCTGCTGCAGATGCGGATGCTGATGATGCTGTTGTGACTGTAGTTGCTGGAGGTACTGTTGCTGTGACTGCGGCGTGATGGTGTTCACTCTCGCGGCGCATTGCTAACAACATTTTCACGCGTTAAATAAAATAAAAGGCCACAAGAAAGGAAAACACAATAAGAAGTAAAACACAAATGAAACGGAAATAGAACTGAAAATAAAACGACTAAATTGAACGCCGATTTGCACTCCATTTGGGGGTTTCACTGACACAATGCACTGAGAAATTTCATTTTTAAATTTTTATTATCGTAAGTATATACTTATTTACGCACGTATTTTTGTTGTTTTTAATTAAATTTGATTGGCTGAAGCATTCACACTCTTTTTTAAAATTCTTGGTTTTGTTATTTTTGTAAAGATATTTTTGTTTTATTCGATTTAATTTTACACTAAATCACAAAATCAGTCTTTAAAAGGACGAAACCGGTTACAGCACTGATATTTATTATTATTTATGAACGGCGATTGATTTATCTGAAAAGAAACCAAAACGATTAATGTCAAAATTTTTACTCAAATCGAAAGAAAAAGATAAACTAAATTACCTTATTAAAAAAATTAAAATAACATAAAAAAATATAAAACCTGCAACTAAAAAACCAAAATTAATTAAAAAAAAAAAATTATACTAAAGAAAATAATATTCAAAATTATAAAAAAGTTGAAAACAAACTAGAATTTAACAAATACATTAATTAAAAAATTAAGAAATTAAAAAAATTAAATTAAATTATAAAAAATGCAGTAAAGAAAATAGTAAAATAGTAAATAAAATAATAAAATAATCAAAAAATATTTATGTAAAAAATTTAAAAAAAAAAGCTAATTAACTAAAGCAATAAAAGAGCATAATGAAATTAACTAAAATTAAATGTATTCAAACTGAAATGAATCAATCCAAAAATTGAATTTTATTATTAACTAATTAAGATGAATATAATTTAATAAACATAGGTTAAAAAAAATTAAATAGTTCATTGAAAATATTAATAAAATAAATAAAAAAAATTAAAATATAATAAACTAAAGTAATATAAAATAAAAAAATAAATAATTAATAAAAATCAAATTATATAAAAAAAAAAAATTAAACAAAATAAAATTTAACAAATATATTAAACAAAAAGCTAGGTAATTAAAAATAAAAATTTAAATAAAATAAAATATAATAAAATAAACTTTAAACGAAATAATCAGTATTTAAAAAAAATAAAATGAAATCCAATGAAGTTCAATAAAACAAATAGAATAAAATAACTAAAATACAACAAAGTAAAATAATATAAATATATAAAATATATAAAAAAAGAAACTGAAATAAAACAACGAAAAATAAGAAAGCACAATAAAGTAAACTATGGCAAAAGGAGCTCTAAATAAAATAAAACAAAGAAAAAAAGCTAATTATATTAAAAAAATGATAATAATAAAAGTTATAAAATAAACGAACACAAAAGAGAACAGAATTTGATAAAAATAAAACGAATTAACAAATAAGAAATATATTTGAAATAAAAAATAGAATAAAAAATAAAATAGACTTTAATAAAGTCAAACAAAATAAAATAAAATAAAATAAAATAAAATAAAATAAAATAAAATAAAATAAAATAAAATAAAATAAAATAAGGTAAAATAAAATAAAATAAAATAAATAAAATAAAATGATATGAAGCAAAATATATAATATAATAGATTATACAAATTGAATGTTTTCAACATTTTTAGGTTGCAGAAGGTAAATTTTCCTTATTAAAGATCAATATATGGGAAATATTAACTCATCTACTCTATAGTTAAGGTGCTATCAGACTAAATCATATGTTTAATAACAAAGTCGGTTAAAGGCTTTCTCCTGAATGATTGACAGGTCAAACCACAGCTTAAACCACTGGCCGCAAAGACCTGAAATATGGAGGGTGTGTTGTCCGTATGTCGCAAGTATCCAATAAGAATGGATTTACCGGGAAGGTGACCTGTGATTATTCTATTCAAAGAAATTGAATTTATTTTCAAATCGCAGGATTTTCATAACCATTGATACAGTAGTAATTTTGAGCCGAATTGCCATTGGAACGGCATTTTCTTGAAGGAAGTTTTGCAATTAAACTCATTATTAAATAAGATACAATAGTTGCTGTACAGTTTTGCGTCAATACATCATTTACACGTACATATCATGTTCTTCAAGAACATTTAATTTAAGAAAATATAGCTGACAACTCCAACTTTGTTGTCATGTAAAACGAATAAATAATGTCAACAATTCGGCAAAATTTAAACAAAATTCCTGTGAATTTCTTGTGTGAACATTTTCCTCATACAAACATGTGGTGGCTGCTCAAATATTATAAAAAATCCAATAAAACAATAAAAATTCTAAAGGAGACATTTCTTGGTGATTTGATGAATTACTCCCAAACGAGTTAAACTTTCCAACTGTGGAAAATTTAACTTTCTGATAAAACCTTTAAGGCTTGCTGATTGTACAGGGCTTTCCAATACGTGCTGCTGATTAGTTATTCAAAGCAAAATGTATTTTTGAGATAATTAATAGCATATTTATTTCAATGTTAAGATGAAGATATGCCATAAATAATGGAAAACAATATCTGCCACGGTACTGCTTGCAGGACCCTAGCTTTTTCATTGAATTTTTCATCAATAAATCGAGAAGTCGCTCAATAGCTTCACGAATTCTTTCTTTGATGTCTTGAATGGAAGTTGGCCTCTTGGTGTAGACCTTATCTTTCACGTGACCTCAGAGGAAGATGTCGAAAAGTGTTAAATGTCGAGATCACGATGGCCAATTGGAAAGATTTCCCTTAAAAGATCGATGGTGTTTTATTCGTCACGTCACTAACTTGACCCAACAGCTTCATTTCCAACTTCTTTACTGCGGTCCGAAAAGGTGTTTCTTATTTTAATTTTTACTCTGTTAGATTTTCACCCCTTTAATAGTGATTTTTAATAATTTCAAAGGGAAGTTGAAGCGTTTTTCGTTCCATTTTTGATTACTGCAATCCATGCAAAGTAATAACTCTTATTGGAAAACCCTTTACATATGACGTAACTGTTTCTATGACGTATGGCGTCGACGGTTCACGTAGGCCTTTTCTCTAACCATATATGCATGTATGTATGTGTATATATGATTTTACACTATGTGTGTTAACATTACGGTGTTATTTACCTTTTTTTTTGCTGCACTAAGTTTAGCGATATTTTCGATTTTTCTACGCAGTTTTTTCCACAAGTTTTAGATATATAATTTTTGTAAAATTTTAATTTCTTTTTATATATAATATTTTCACGTTTCTCAATATATATAAATTTTCATTAAGCTCAAAGCAGTTAATTCGTTGATATTACAAAGTCTCATTACAAACCACGTACCAACAAATTGGTACACATTTTTACGGTGAACCCATTTTGACATAACACGCACACACACACACAAATGCTTATAATTCTTTTTTTTTTAATTTTCCTTAAAGACTTTTTTTAACAGCCCAATTATATGTTTTTATAAATATCAAAAATGTTTTAAAAACTTGAGCTTTGTTAAACTGTATGTATGTACCATGCATATGTATGTATGCACTATATATTTTTGCAGATATGTGTGTAATTCCCTACAAGATTTGTTGTAAATCATTTATAAAAAAATTTCACTAATTTTAGCGCGATATTTTATATATATGTATATAAATTCAGCTGCCCGACGGCGAAACGCTTACCACGTATGTATATATAATATATGTATGTATGCACTTTTTTTACGTTTAGCACACGCTCGCGGAAATTTTTGCACAGCCTTTTTATTTTTTTTTTATTATTTATGAAACAACAAATTATTATTAAAAAAATTAACAGAAAAAAATTAAAATTTTGTTAAATGAAATTAATTTCCACAAACTGATTTTCTCACGGTACTACACGTCTGTATGGAATTTCCCACATTTTGGCGTAAAATTAGTTGCCTTCTTTATGATTTTTGTGATAATCAGGCTGCGAGCGCCGCGACTTTCATCGACGCGATACGAAACGAAACAAAAAATGCAAAGTTCTTAAGACACAAGACAAAGCGTCGGGAGAGATGCGCTGACGAGCTGTCGAGTTGTCGAGCCACCAAGTCGCTACTATCGGCTAGCCGGTAAAAGTGAATTTGGAAAACCACTGCTGATAGCGATGAAAGTGAGCAACGGCGAGTATATACATACATACACGTACATATGCATATATATATATATATATATATATATATTGGTACGCACATAAAAATGGCAATCGTAGCAGCAAAAGGAGCAGCAGCGCGTTATTTGTGTTGTCCGTATTAGCTGCGGCAGTAGAGCAACACCAGCAGCAGCTCTAACAACGGCAAAACAAACATGGCTAACGGCGCAACAGGCGACAACTATACACTTTCGGGTGTATATATTACATCGGTTCCGACACGAAGAGACAACGAGCGGGTGAAAAACTGTATGGGGCTGCTGCTGCTCTGTGTGGGGCGCTGGCGTCAAATAGTGCGCAGGCAGATGATTGTGGGAAATTCAAACGAAAGCGAAAAGTAGACATGTATGTATGTATGTATGTATGTATTGTAAGTATGTATGAATGAATGCGAAGGTGCAAACGAAAATAAAAGCGACACGCAGGAATGTGATTTTCATACGAAAACAAATAAGCGCGGCAAAAAAGCTGACAGACAATTGAGCGGGAGAGCTGTTGGTGTAGAGGAAAAGTTCAGTCAGAAAGAAAAGTTCAGCGGAAAAGCTGCACAGCTATACAATTGTATACTTATGTTCGGATATGTGTGTATATATTTATGTATGTATGAATGCATATATGTATGTATGTATGTATGTATGTATGTATGTATGTATGTATGTATGTATGTATGTATGTAAATATGTGTAAATATTTAATTGTGTAGGCACTTCTAACTCTACATATGTATATATTTACGTACTCGTATTCACGGTATTAAGTACCTCTGCGCTAGTTCTCAAAGTGTGGGTGTAGGTGTCATTGCTCAGTCGGCCAACGTTGGCAGCGTCAAGTGGTAAAGGCGAAGAAAGCACAGGAAATAAAGCGCAGAAAAGCAAACAGTAACCGCGTAGACTTTCAGGACTATACAAATTTTATGGTGCGTTAGGGCAGTGCGTTGTCGAGGCATTTTGTCTAAATTCGTAAGAAATACACATACATGCATACATACATACATACACGTACATACGTAAATAC